ATCAAAATAGTTACAAGCGTTCACAACGAAATCTTATATTTTGGTATCGGCTGACAATAGCATGTATACTAACTTTCGTAAACACATATTTTTCAAGAAAAGTAATGAAACAATCATTTAATAATTATTCTTCCATGTTATTCTGTAATTTTTTCTTGATAATAGTTATAGTTGAAAATTATTGCAGTTGCTATTTTTGTTTGTCTCAACAAATTTCATAAAAAGTTCATTTAAATTCTTCAAATCTCAAGATATTTCATCACATTGAACATGAATGATGAAATTACCTAATAATAATTCAAAATTCATCAATTTGCTTCTGCAAATTATGTAGGATATAATTATGCAAGTAGTTGCAATATCTTTTTATTGAAAGAGGAAAGTTGATTTGCGGGGAAAAAAAAAAAAGAAAAAAGAAAAAGCAAGACATCAATAATTTTTTTGATGGGTCTTGTCAAATACTAAAACCGTCACTATTCATAAAGTAAAAATAGAACTAACACTTAGGAATGCATTTGTAATTTTAATGATAATTAATATTATTTTAAATTTTTTTTTTTTGAATCAATTGACCTACCTTGCCTAATATTGCATCGTGCTTACTATGATTGTTATATTTTTTTTGTGTTAACAATTACATCAAATGTCTTATTAAATTATTTTATTTGTTTGATTGTCTATATAATAATTGATGGTATGTATTCTTTTAAACTTCAGATTTTAGATAGGATGGTCATTTAACAATATTAGAATCACATCTCAATTCAAATTTTTTTCATTAGTAAACATCTTAAAACGTAAAGAAGCACAAGTATAAAATTGTAACTACATGCATTTTTCACTTGGAAATCTTGTGTATTTCACAGTGATTTGAACAATAATAAAAAAAAAAAAAAATTATATACGATTTGATATGGAATTTTAAATATAAATATTTTTTTATGTAATAATTTTTTAAGAAAAAAAAATATTTCATTCGTCCCACATATTAAGTCATTGTTCTCATTTTTATTTATTTCACATCTTATGTAATTTTTTTCAAAGGATTAAACTCTTTAATTACTTTTTAAAATTTAAATTTTATAATTCATAATTTTTAAAATTTTTAATTAGAATGATAAGTTTATTTTCTTAATTATTTATTAATCAATGCATCTTCTGAATTAATTGTGACATTATATCTAGGATTGAGAAGTACTATTTAATACTTCCTTTCGTCCACCTCCGAAGTCATATTTATCTTTTGTGTCATTATACTTAACATTAAAAATATTTTTATATTTGTATAATTTTTTGTACAAATGTCCTTTTATATTTGCAATTTTTTTAATAATTTGTACAATGTTTTGATATAAATTAAAATTCAAAAATTAATATAAAAAAAGTAAATGAAACCTTAGAGCCTGACACATGTAATATAATATTTTATTTTTTAATTTTTTAAATTTTTATGAAGACATAATACAAAAACAATAACAAAAAACAAAAAAAACGCCAACCATTAAAGGCCCAAATCTTTCCTAATTCAAGTATTTTCAATCTATCATAAAATATTTTTGGGAATTTGGTTTGGAGATCATTTTTTTTCCAAAAAAAAAAAAAAATCGGCATTATTTTCTTATATTTTTGTCCACGTGTGTTTGGTTGTGATTTCAAGCCAAAATCAATCATACAATTTTAATACTATTATTTTTTTTCACAAAATATTGATAACATCAAAATACCATTTAAATAAAAATTTTAAATAACACCATATTTTAAATCAATAACATATACACCCGAAGATCAAAATCTTCGAGTCATTAATATTAAATTCAAACTTTGGCACAAATTTACCTTTTGTGTTAAACAAATACATAATAATAAAGAGAATGAAATCAGAAAAATGTTCGACTTTGTTTAGGTGCACACTTTGAAAAGTTTTTAGCATTATTTATCAATATTATTATTTTTTCACATTAAATATTTACATGCTCCAAAAAAAACATTACATCAAATATTAACTATTTTTACCATTCAATTTTTTTTTTTCCAAAAACTAAACTTTAGAAAACATCGATCTAAAGGGAACCCCGAAATCATTAAATGCCCAAATTTAGGGTGTGGGGTAGTCGACATTTGTATTTGCACGTTGGTGCTAGCTCTACGTTTCTCGATCTTCCATTTCCATTGATCCATTACCATCTATTTAAACCCCAGCTCCCACATTAATATAATACTATAATTTATATTCATCGATCATCTCAATTTTCAACCACTCTCAGAAATTAATTAATTAATGAATTAATATCCATTCCATGTACAAAATAGCTCCCTCAATTCTCAGCATATACACTACTACTGCTATATGTCTTCTTCTTCTTCTTCTTACATTACTAATCCAGCTCCCTAATCTCTCTTCAGCAGCAGCAGCAGCCATGGCGCCCGCGGCTGACGGCGCCGCCGTGAAGCCGTGGGGGAATGCTCGTGCTCATGCTCGTGCTCATGCTCATGCTCGTTTGATCGGCTTGGAGGAGTGCAAGCCGAAGGGGATGCGGCGCTCCTCCGCCCCAAGCCGGTATGTCAATTTTCAGAGATTGCTTTCCTGCACAACCTCAACCCCTTCTGCAGCTTCTCAAAATCATAACAAACCCTAGCTGCCTGCTGCCCAATCAATTCCACCCTCACAGATCAGAATTTTATATATATATATATATGTATATGTGTGTGTTTTCTTTGTTTGCAACATAAAAATATTTTTTTGGGAAGTATATAATGTAAATGGAATACTTTGTGAAGTTGTAACTAAATAAAGGGTTTTTAACCCCAATTAAACAACAATTTTTTTTTTTATTTGTGTTATATGGTCGATTGTTAGTTTTGAAATTTTGTTTAGAATAGATAAAAAGAAAAATAAATTAAATGAAGCAAATACATATTGAATGTAATGTTTTATAAAGAAAATACAATTTTCAACATGCCAAAATATAGTGAATATGGGCTGAGCCTAGACTATATTTTCACCTTTAAGCCATGACGGTTAAATTACTTCAAGATTTTCAGAAGATATAAAGAATGAATAAGCTAAAATATGAGTTGGATTATTATTGTTGGGACTGGGTCAACTCAACTCTAGTATGATATTGTCAGCTTTGGGCTAAACTCGCACGGAACCGGTCCAGATCCAGATAGGTCTCTCAAAGATCTTGGTTTGGTTGATACGTGGGTAAAACTGAGTCTGAATAAATTGCTTCCGTAATAATAAAAAATTCTTTTAAGTTTTCGTTAGATTCGGGATATTCTTATGTGAATATGTGTTGTGGATTTTGGATTAATAATAACAATTACCTTATCCAAAGAAAATTAAGAAGTTGGAATATCAACGTTGATCCATAGGAGGTTACAATCCAAGTTTATTGGGAATCGATCATTTGATAAAATTTATTTTAAAATTTGAATAATTCTTCACTTTAGTAGGTTGGTTAATTTGTTTCAGAGTTCTTACTATTTTGTAGTTAGGCTGGTGATATTAATAAAGCCATAGGTCTGGTAGTTTGTTTCCAAGCAATAACAATTAATTCATCATTTTATATTATGTTTTCTTATGCATTTGTAGTTTTTTTTTTATTTGCATTAGATTAGTAATTGTAGATTAGTCATCAATTCAGCTTTAGACAAAATTTTCATCTTACAATTGAAGCTTAGGCCACCTACAACTATTCAGACCAATTTATGTTTTTGGATTCAAGAAGATTCTTTGAAGTACTTTCGGAACATAATGTTAGTTTAGAATGATTTGGCCAATGCAAATCGCTTGGTTGGGGGGCATATTCATTCAAGAGATCTTTGATCGAGTAAATTTTGGAGCCAACACATGTATTATTTTAAATGATAATAAGTACTCTTTCCCTCTTATATAGGGTGCAACATTTTGATTCGGCATGAAAATTTAAACAAGTAGAATAAAATAAGAATTAGGTGATGTGACGAGAGAAGTGTAGGCTTATTATTATTATTATTATTATTATTATTATTATTATTATTATTTTGAGTGGTGTGATTGGATAAAATGTAGTTAATTATCTTCTATTTTGAAAATATTACAGAATATATGAGACAAACAAAAAAATATTGCAGAATATGTAAGACGGAGGGAGTATTTAATTTGATCATATATTTTATCTTTTTTAAAAAATACTATATATAGATAGTGTTACAAGTAATTTTACCATGTATGTAAACCCACCTTAATAAATGAAGACAATATATTGACTTTTAACAAAAAATACTTTATTTGGATACTAGGTCCGTTCGCGGGTTACTCATAACACATTTGAATAATAGCAGCGGTAAATTTTCATGCCGTAGAAAAAAATCACATTCACATTATTAAGTTTTTATTTAGGTGATAGTCACAATGTTGATTGTAATTAATCAATACTGCCATGGTAGCATATGAGGTATAAATTGACAATCTGTATGATATGTATATTAATATAACAAATGAATTGAAAGTACATGACAATAACCAATACAACATACTACAATTGATGTCAAAATATAAGATGTCAAAATATAAGGTATATTAACAACCCCAATATAAAAGGGCATTATTAAAATTGATGTTAAAACACAAGGTATATTAACACAACGTACATGTGAAAATAAAAATGACATAGGATAACAATTTACATAGGACATACTGTATTAATTGAATTGAATTTATGTGTTAACCGTCTAAATTCAATGTATTGATTAAGACTAATTAGCATGATGTTAAACTAATCCATTTTTTTCTAAATGTTGTTATGATATTAGATATGAAGTCCAATTATATTCTAAAATTTAAAAATATAATTTGAATATTATTAACATAGGTTTAGGGTTTGCTAAATTAAAAAAATATACATGTATTTTCTCCGGTACGTAGATCATTTGAATGGATAACCAAATTAACGTGTTTTTTTTTTCCCTTGATTTCTTAATTTCTTCAACATATGATCGAAATGCATAGCACGCTCTAGAATAGTATGGTATTTGTTTACAACTAAGAAATTAAACGACAAATTCGTTGCTCAAGTACGGACAAGTTGTGCACGTGTGAAAAGTTGTTATTTACTGTACAATAACTGATCACACACACGCTTCTGGCTGGATGTCTTATTTATAACCCTGGAACTGGATTGGAAACCTACCTGCCTAACTATACAGGTCGTCGTCGTCAGCTCCTCCGGCAGGGGCAGAAAACGGGTCGGATCCGGATGCTCCGGCGGCCGACTCAGCAAACCGGAACTCAGTTCCGAGCCCCCGCGACTGCTGCAAGGTCTGCGCAAAAGCCTGGTACTTACGTATATCGGCATCGCTCACGCTACGGCGCGCAAATTTCATCGACTCCTCGAAATGAGCTGGCTTGATCTCCGACACTTCTTCATCGACATCCTCGTCCATGGAGTCGGGATTCTTCGCTCTCCTCCTCTCTCTTTCTATGTCCTGAAACGAAAAAATCGATCTATTTTATAGCTTTCTGAGTGAAAAAAGGAATTTAGATGCGTACTTTCTCGATGTTCTCCCGGATGGCGTATTTAGCAGCGCGTTGGCAGATTTCCGTAATATCGGCTCCACTGAATCCTTGAGTGTATTTGGCGAGAGCTCGGAGATCGACATCTTTGGAAAGTGGCGATTTTCGGAGGCAAGCTTTGAAGATCTGATGACGGGAATCTTCATCGGGGAGAGGAATGTAAATAAGCTGATCAAGACGGCCCGGGCGAAGAAGGGCCGGATCAATTATGTCGGGTCTGTTAGTCGCCCCGATTATGAATACGGTTTTCTTCGCATTCATGCCGTCCATTTCGGTTAGGAGTTGGTTGAGAACTCGATCGGCGGCGCCACCGGCGTCGCCGACGCTGCCGCCTCTCTGCATCGAGCATTACGATTCGTTGTCTGTTAGGGAATGTGTAATGGAAAGATGAGAACAAAAGTTATATGCGGATAACCTGGGTAGCGATGGAATCGAGCTCGTCGAAGAAGAGGACACATGGCGCAGATTGTCTGGCCTTGTCGAATATTTCCCGAACGTTGGCTTCACTCTCTCCGAACCACATGGTAAGAAGCTCGGGTCCTTTAACGCTGATAAAGTTGGCTTGACATTCGTTGGCTATGGCCTTGGCTAGAAGTGTTTTGCCGCAACCAGGAGGGCCGTAGAATAGAACACCCTTTGAGGGCGACATGCCGAATTTCTCAAATTTCTCGGGATGTTCCACGGGATATTGAACAGTCTACAGCGTAACGAATAAGTTCAAAACGATTATCTAATTCGAAAACTTAAATTTGTTCGATTCATGTTACCTCCTGAAGCTCTCTCTTGACATTTTCAAGCCCGCCGATGTCATCCCAAGAGACATTAGGCACTTCGACGACCTGGTAGTTCATAGAATACGGATAATTAACAAATTTACGTAAAGATGCGAATATTTCATACCCGTTTGTTCACTTACTGTCTCCCGTAGAGCAGAAGGATTGCTTGATCCAAGTGCAGTGTGGAAGTGATCGTTTGTAACAGCCATGGAATTTAGTATCTCAGCATCGATTGTGTCGTCTTCCAAATCGATGATGTCCATTTTCTCTCTGATGCATTGAAGTGCTGCTTCGGTGCAAAGCGCTGCAAGGTCGGCGCCAACATAACCGTGGGTATCTTTTGCGATTCGTTCTAAATCAACCTGTAAAATTGCAATACATCAATCAATATAATCAAGTACGGCTCATAGTGATTACGGCCAAGTTCAAAGTAAGACGAGAGGGGCCAACATCATCGGAAAGTTTCATGTTTTTGGTATGAATCCTGAGAATTTCAAGTCGTCCCACTTCATCAGGAACACCAATATCTATCTCCCTGTCGAACCTACCAAACCTTCTAAGAGCCGGATCAATGGTGTTTGGCCTATTAGTTGCCCCCATGACAATGACATGGGAACGAGACTTGAGCCCATCCATGAGAGTCAAGAGTTGCGAAACTATCCTTCTTTCAACTTCGCCATGTGTCTTCTCTCGCTTCGGAGCTATGGAATCAATTTCATCGATAAAAATAATAGCCGGTGCATTTTTTTCAGCCTCCTCAAAAGCCTTTCTAAGATTGCTCTCGCTCTCTCCGGCCAATTTAGACATGATCTCTGGACCATTGATAAGAAAGAAGAAAGCCCCGGTTTCATTAGCAACGGCTCGAGCAATTAAAGTCTTGCCAGAACCTGGCGGTCCGTAAAGGAGAATCCCCTTGGGGGGTTTGACCCCAATAGATTTGAACAGCTGAGGATGTCTCAACGGCAACTCAACTAATTCTCGAATCTGAGCCATCTGCTTTCTAACACCACCGACATCATCATATCCAACCTCATCCAACTTATCCTCATCCTCTCGCTTCACAGGCTCGCCCTCGCAGAAGATTTCAGTATCAGGGGAAACAACACAGTACTCCCCTGGATCAGTCTCAACAACTTTAAATTCGACGCTTCTCATCCCTCCTCGCACAAGAAAATGGTCTCCTTTCCTGACAGGGCGATAAGCCTCCATAAAGTAAGCTGCGAAGACAACATTAGAAATTGATCATTATTTTCCTTCCACGACTATTATTAACATGGATAGAGATAACAGAATCCACGAAAGATGAAAGGGTTTACGTTTGAGATAAGCATCAAATAGATCCCCAGTGAGGCCCTCAATAGTATCATCCAAAGGCAGAATGTGAACACGCTTTCCGTATTTAACGTCTTGACATTGGTGCAAAGATACAACATCACCCAAACGGACCCTCAGATTAGACCTCACAACCTTGTTCATCCTAACCTTTGGCTCTTCGCATGTCTCATCGGCAAGGGCAATACACACTGTGTCCTTTCTTTTCTTCCCCTGGATTCCATGAATAGCTAATGAATTAAGCAAATCAAACGGCATTCAATCGAGATCATTCAAAATGCAGAATCATTCACTGTAATCTGCTATGCACAGCTACAAACATGCAAGTATGATCATAGCAAAAAATAAACAATACTTAAATTAAATTAATTGGTTACCCACAGCATATTAGACATTAGAAGTTTCAGCAGCTGCAGACTATTTCTCAATGGATGGGTATAAACTTAGTTAGAATACAACAAAAATTTAACATAGAAACCGCTGTAGGATTCACTGTTTTTCCAGCTTGGTTTATGCACTGGCTTCTAGTAAAAATTGATTTGATTCGAGCAGAGGCATTTCACTATACAAATCGATGGGAAGATCGTGGGTGGTAGCAATTAAGTTCGTTTCGAACCATTTTGCGATTCAATCGAATTCGCAACTCCATAAATTCAGTCAAATTCACTTTCAGCTTTAGAAATAGAATCAATGAACATGAACCGAAGCACCTGTTACTACTCTGTTTTCCCCCAAATAAATAGCTAGCTCTAAAATCTACAACAGAACAAGCCTCCTTCCACAATAACAATATTATCTAAATATAAGAAACACGGAACTTAACCTTAATCAAAATCGTGTCACCGCGGAAAAGCTGGAGCTTCTCCATGGTGGCAGGGTGCAGAGAGACAACTGAGTTATCGTCGTTGACGGCCTCATCAACAACCAGCCGATTCGGAGCCTTCTTCCTCTCCAAAATCGCAGTCGAGAAGTCCTTCTTCCCATCCTTGCTGTCCAGAACACCAAAACGTCGTCGGATTTTGAGCAGCCATCAATTACAATTTACAGCACATAAATACATAAAGCGAGTACAAAATAAAGCACAAAAGACAGCCATGGAAAACAATGAGCTAGCTAGATTATACATACGCGTCAGACGACTCAGCAGGGTGACTCATTCTCCGGTGATCTGTGGAACGGTGGTGAGCTCGATAATTCGGAAATATGCTTTCCCGGGGCACAAGAAACGAAGCAATTCAGAAGAGATATTTTGTACAGATATATACTGTATATATATTATATAGAGATGTCGAGAATGTACGGATTGACCACCACCGATAGAGTGTATTTCTTCGATTTTATGTTTGGAATTAAATAATAATAAAATTTTATTTTTAAATATTTATTTAATACTTTATTTCTTCAAGATAATCGACTCTTTTTATCAGAAATAATAATTAAAATAATACTTCTCCGCTCTATGTACAGTATATTATTCATTTATTTAATATAAAAATATTTTTATGTTTTTATAATTTTTTTTTATAAACATCCTTTTTATTTTTTTATCTTATTTATATTTATATTTTAATATATAATTAATATTCAAAATAAAAAAATAAATATAAATTTTAAAATCAAAAGAAAATAATAATATTTAATTAATTACTAATAATAATAAATATTATTTTATTATTATTTATATATATAATAATATGGGCAATTTAAAATAAATTTAATATATATAATTAAAAAATTAGAATATATATTTAAATATTTTAAAAATTATATCGGCATAAAAATCTATGGCAATATAGAAATTATTTTGTAAAGAATAAAATTTTCTATAATATAAATAAATAAAAAAACCTTTTAAATTTACAATTAATTAATTTTATTAAAAATATAGTTTTAAATATTGATAAAATATTTATTTTATTGAAAAGAATTATAAAAATAAATTTTTTTGAGCAAGTCTATAATATATGATGTTATAAATTATGTGGTGGATTAAGATTTGTTATGTATGTTTTGATTTAGAGCGTGTTCGGCAAATAGCTTATTGAAGAGCTTTTAGTTGTGTGGCCAGTCAAACAACTAATTTAGGTGTTTTGTAAATTAGTTTTTTGGAATAATTTTGGGACTCAAAAAGCTTATTTCTGAAAAGCTAATTTTCTCATCGTTTTGAAATAGTTTCTTAGTTTAAATTTTTTTATTCTTTATTTACCCTTAAAAATTTATTATGCATTTTACACAAATAAATATATATTGATTATTTATTAATTATATTAGAATATTTTATTATATTATAGTTTTATTTTTATAAATTTAAAATAATAAATTTTTATATATAAATTATTTTAATTGTAAAATATTTAAATTTATTAAAATCAACACAAAATAGAAAATAAAAAATATTAATAATTTATTTTTATATTAAAATTACATTATATAAATTTTATATTAAAAATAAATTAAATAAATTAAATTTATTAAAAATTATAAATATAATGAACTAATCGATAATTAACATAATAAATATATACATAAAAAATTATTATTTTATATATTACATTATTTTCAATAAAAAAACAATTTATATTTTTCAATAAAAAAATACTCCCTCCGTCCGTCTGCTACACTGTAGATACCGTATTTTAGGAGGGGTGTAACTAGTAGATAATTAAGAATATATTCGTGAAAATAATTATCCTATAATATAAATAATTATAAATTAAGATTAACATAACTAATTAGTTTAATTAAAATTAAAAAAAATAAAATTTAAAAATTTAAAATGAGATTAAAATGTGTAATCATTTTCCAAAAAAGGAAAGTGACATGGTATGTGGGACGGACAGAAACGGCAACGTGGACATGATATCTGGGACGGAGGGAGTATTATTTTTTATATCTAAATATAATAAAAAATAAATATTATTTTACAATACTTTTACAATTTTCAATAACTAATAACAAAAAATTTTAAACATTCTAAACTCAAAATGACACAATTGAATATATTAAAACTAAAATAAAATAGAAATGTCCTCGATTGTCATTTTACGTATAAACAACTAATATCAAACGGTTGTTTTATCAAACATTTAATACAAACAGTTAATCGAATCAGCTAGTCAAATAAACTAACAGCTAACAACTGTCAACTAATTGTCAAAGACGCTTTTAATAAATTTATCCAAAATAAAAATGTGTAAAGTATTATGTGACGGGATAAATAAAAATGTGTAAATTATTATGTGACTGTACTCTCCCATCTAGTTGTAAATGATACTTTGATTGGAGATACAAATTTTAAGATAAAGATTAATTAGTTAGTAATAATAGGTTATCTATCATTTTTTATGTAAAATATATTGTTAGTAATTTCAAAATAAGAAATAATATATATGATTAAAAAAATAGAATATATATTTAAATATTTTAAAAATTATATCTAAATAATATATATATAATATGTATATCATTTTATACAGAATAAAATTTTATATAATATAAATAAATAAAAAATGATTAAAACTAATTTTATAAAACAAAAAAAAAAAATTGACATAGATAAAAATATTTATTTATTGATGAAAGAGATGAAAATAAAAAAGACATATTATGTTATATTTTATAAAATTAATTAATTTTATATATATAAATGTTAAGTGTTTATTAAATTAGTAAAATTTAGCAAGGATAAATATGTATTATTGTTATGGGACACATTAAAAATAAAAATAATACTATTTGTTATGGCACCGGACAATAGTTTTAATACTTCCCATCTCCCACATAAAGTGCTTAATTTTTTTAATTTTTGTACGTCTTACATAATTTATCTTTTTCTATTTTAAAAATATAATTATATATTCTAATTACATTATAAGGCACCGTCGACGCGGCAACAACATTTTTTTCCTAGAGATTATGATTATTGTATCTATTCTGCAACATAAAAGCCTGGGGAGGGAAGCAGAGACCACCTACAAGTGTATTAGTGTAGATATAAGAATTTAGGTAAAATATAATTAGTATATAATTAAAAAGTGTATCAGTAAAAATAATTATAAATTAAAATTAGGGTAAACTGTTTTTTTAGTACCATAACTGGACCCCCTTATCATTTTAGTTTCGTAAGTGGAGCCTGTCGCAAACTAGTCCCATAAGTGAAAAATTTTCGTTGTTTTAGTCCTCCGGCGCCGGAGATGCCCGCGTGGCTCACCGGAGGTGACGTGTCCGCCAGGTGTCGCTGATCTGGTGGACACGTGGATTTTTTATTTTTTTATTTTTTTAATTTTTTTTAAAACTTATTTTTAATTTATTTTTAATTTTATTTGTATTTTTTTTATTTTTTTTATTTGGTCCAATGAAAAAAAATTAAAAAAATAATAAATTCACGTGTCCGTTAGGTGTCGCTAACCTGGCGGGACACCTGGCGGACACGTTACCTCCGGCGAGCCACGAAGGCGTCTCCGGCGCCGGAGGACTAAAACAGCGAAATTTTTTCACTTATGAGACTAATTTGCGACAGACTCCACTTACAGGATTAAAATGATAAAGGGGTTCAGTTACGGGATTAAAAAAACAGTTTACCCTTAAATTAATCTAACTAAATAATTTAATTAAAATTAAGAAAATTTAAAATTATAAAATTTAAAATATGATTAAAGTGTAATTATTTTTCCCAAAAAATAAAAAGAAAAATTATGTGGAACGAACAATAATAGAAAATATGAACAAATTATGTAGAACGGATGGAGTATTTTTTTTAATCTATTATAAAATTCCAAAGAACCTTTGAATTGAGGCGAATGGAAGTATATATTAATATGCTAAAAATCGGAATTGTTTATTTTTTTTGTTAAGTTCTTTATTTATGTCAACGAGCTTGACATTTATCGTTCATTATTTATATATAATAGTATTATATTTAATAACTATTTTTATCTCAAAATATCATAACTAATTATAAAAACACATAAGAAAATTACAGATACAAATAAACACACCATAATTATACAAATGATTTTGTATGTGAAAAATATGTGATGTGTTAACACTATTGCGAATTCATCCCAACTTGTTCAGTATGAATTATTTTCATGACACCAAAATATCGTGTTGTGCATCTTGTTAGAATTGGAACTCGTCATCACTCTTGGGCCTCATAGATCAGGTTATGGGCTAGGCCCAATTTTTTACTTGTGGGATGAGCCAACACACACATATATATATGTATACGTATACCTAGTTGTGACGGGTCTTCTTCAACACATCCTATCCACCGCCACTCTCGCTCACCTCATGTCCGCTCACTGTGCGCATCGTCTTCGCTATCACTATCTTTCATTTACAAACAAAGCACTCCATCATTGTGATTGTTATAATCACTCATTTCGCAAACGCTTCGTTCACACCTCAATCAATCTCCGTATTGATTATTCATTCTCTCCGCTTCACTGGTTGTTACTTCTAATGTATGTCTTTTTTAGTTCTTGTCCGTCTTCTCTCCTTCCCACAGGTACTTGGCTTGATTTATAGCTTATCGATTGTTTAGATCATAATTGCTGGCGTTTAAGGTTCCAAAAGGCACCTATGTGATCAACAACTTACAAGTACACTGGTTTGGTTGTATTCCTCATATTTTTTTTTAATTATGAGGTGATTTAGATTGATTATGATGTTGTTAGAGTGTTCATGTGTGAGCACCGTGCCTTTTCATAGTTGATTGATGTGTAAAGACATATTCTTTGTTGATCATTTGTGATCTAGGCGTGTATCGTTAGAATCTAGCCTCCTTTGTACACTAGCACATTTGATAATAAATATCACTCAGAGTGTAGGCATTCCTCACTCCCTACTATAGAATTGTGTGTTTGTTTTTTGTTTTTTTTTTTTTGTTTGTTAACGTGGTATTAGAGCGAGGTTTGATATTATCTTTGTTTGCAGGTGTCAATTTGTGATTGTTGTTTGCTATTGGTTGTAAGTTGAAAGTTCAGTGTAAACTCTGTTCTCAATGGGTGAACCTATTAATCATGCTTCTGGTAGTGACAAACAATCCCCTAGTAGTTGCTTCAAATTTTTAGGATCCATTGTATCTATATCCTTCAGATTATGCCAACACTTCTTTAATCTCATGTGTTCTAACTAGTTATGACAATTTTGTTGTTTGGAATAGAGCCATGACGTGAATTTCATGTAATAGAAATACATGTTCTACCGAGACAGAATTTGATTGCTTTGTCAGGTAATAATAAGCTTAAATTTGTTGAAGGTAA